CAGATTTCTTGTTCTGACATGTCTTATCAGTAGACCTAGAACAGGAGTGAGAGTTGGCATTTCCAACAGATTTCTGGATCTGTTTTGCGGTCCAAAGAGCAGACACTGATAATTACTGGCCTTTCAGTCTTTATCAGACATTTGTGGAAGCCACAAGGTCTCAGGAAATAACCATGACAAAACAGCCAGCACACCATAAAATTGGTGGTAAATCACAGTTTCACTGTTCTGTTCACGTCATCCAGTCTCTTCTAATTGAGTCTAGGCGAGGACCAGAACGAGAGTTTCTACTTTGTTTTGTTTACTCCTTAGGACCTGTCGCAATTCGATGCGTCATTTAATTATAAGCAAATTTTTCAGTTTTAAAACTGCTTGTTTTAAACATCATCTAGTGATTTATTGCTGTTTATCTTTTCCATTGAAAGTATGTACTATTTGTATCCGTTTTCTGTTTTGTTTCGTCTTTCTTTAAATAAAATTTAAAAAAAAAAAAAACTGTTTTGAAATATCCTTGCCAGTTTCTTTGACTACACTAGAGGGAGCTATAACCCAAATTATACAGTGTAGAAATAACATACAAATGTTATTTCCCTTTTCCATTTTGGGCTATTACTTTTTAAAAAAATTTTATTGAAATACTTTAAGTGTATAATGCATTGTACTTTGATAAATGTTTAAACCTGGATAACTGCCCATCAAGTCATATGTTGCATAATGATATTTTTGTCAGTAATAGACCAGATATTCATCAGTGGTTCCTTAAATTATTTCAGCTAGTGACACTGAAGCCATCATGGTTTGTCAGTATTCTCTGTAGTATTGTAATATTCTTCAGTGAGGAAATAAATTAACAGTGCTCACCTCTAAACACATCCCCAATGTTAAGTGATATAGGACTTCTTATGGGACATTTTCTTCCTCATTTTGCAGTCACTTCTACCTGCCTCCTGTCACTGTAGGTAGTTTGTTCTTGAATTTCATGAAGTTTGAATCATGCAGTACACATGTATTTAGTGTCTGGCTTTTTCAGTATAGTATTTTTAGGATAATCCATGTTGCATTTATGAGTAATTTATTCTTATCTGTTGACAAGTGATACGTTGTTGTGTTTATATATTTTGTTTATCCATTCTTTGTTTTGTTTTTTTGTCTTTTTGAGACAGGGTTTTGCTAGACAGTTCAGGCTGGCCTTAAATTTGCTTTGCAGCTCAGGCTGACCTCAAACTTACAGTGAATCTCCTGCCTCAGCCTCCAAAGTGCTAGGAGTACAGGTGCGCATCACTAGACTTGGCTCGCCATTCATTTTTGATTGTCCCTTTGTCAGATTTTTGAAAGGAATCAGAAAAAAAATGAATCGTTACCATTTGACTATACTTAAGTATCTTACATTTAATTTTTCTTTGTAATTTTGAATTTCCTTTAAATAATATCCATTTTTAATAGATTATCAAATTATTTTCTGTCTTTCAATTTCTTAATTTTAATCTGGTGCTTAAAATAGAAATGTAGGCACAAAACAGCTACAGTAATCGTGAAGACTGAAACAATGCTAAATTATATATAAGATATTCATTGAAAATGTAGAATGGTAAGTCACTTGTTTTTTTTTTAAGGGTAATTTATAGTACATTTTCTTTTTTATTTTATGGAAAAGTAGAATAATATCTCATAACAAAATAATAGAATAACAGTTAATACATTGCATGTTGTTATCTTTAAAGTAGTTACTCAGAGTACAAGTTACGGGCATAAAAAATTCTGCAATTGATATTGGCACAAAACTAGTTCATTGAGCACTAAGAATGCTAGCAGGGTAATGAACAACTCCGAAAGTTAAAACATTCTCATGATACAAGAAATTGAAGGGTTTAAAGTAATTTTACTGAAGATCTTTATGTCGTAGCAGTTCAGTAATTTGGTAAAAGAAAAATTTGCTAGCTAGGATGGATTGAGATTTTTGGTATATTTTCTGTTATAAATGGAAAGACAAGGCTGCATCCTCTGTGAGGTGATGCTGTTCTGTAAAGAAAAATACAAAACATAAATACAAGATGCAAAGCTGCTAAAATGGAACAGAAGAAACTTTTAATATGATGGCAGAATTCTCTTCAGAAATAGCACTAGAATTTCCATTAGCATAGACATAAACAAAATTTTGGCATGTCAAATTTAACAGCATATTATGTAGATAATGTATCATGACAAAATGAGTTTATCCTAGGTATGGAGGAGTGATTTAACATTTGAAAAGCAATAAAATAACTAAAAAAGAAAAACCATGTGACTGTTTCAGTAAATACACAAAATCCTGCATCTATTTCTGATCAAACTTCTTAGCAAACAAGAAGGAAGTTCCTCAACCTAATAATGGGTGCTTATGAAAAGCTTATAGCCAGCATTGTATTAAAAAACTGAATGTGTTATGAAATTCCATGTAAAAACTATGAAAAGACAAGGGCATCTACTCTTTTCACTTCTTTTTAACATTGTCCTGGAGAGTTAGCAGTGTAGTCAGACAAGAAAAAATGACATCCAAACCCGAAAGAAAAAAATAAAACTGCCTTTTTTTTTTTTTTTCCAGAACATGTGATAGTCCATATAGAATATCCAGTGGGGTTTATCAGGAAGTTAGCAGAATTAGTAAGTGAATTGAACAGGCTTGCAAATAAGGGAATCCATGTATTAAAGTTAGTCATATAGAAGAAGTAAACCCTCAGAAGTTGAGACCAGAAAGAATACTGCTTACAGTAGCATGAGGATAGAGGTAAATCTTGATAAAGTATAAAAGACTTGTGCACTGAAAACTAGTCATTGCTGAGAGAAAGAGGACCTGAGTAAATGTTTATGGTTCAAAAGACTTGATGTTTTAATTCTCCCCAAATTAATGAACTTGTACTTTGCCATTCCAATCAAATTTCCACCAGTTTTTGTTTTGTTTTTTGGGGGCGTCTTTTGGTAGAAATTGACAAGCTATTTCTAAATTTCCTATGGAAAAGCAAAAGACCCAGAATTATGAAAACAAGTTTGGAAAAAAACAAAGTTAAAAGCCTAACACTCCATGATTTCAAGACTTACTTTAAAGCTGTGATAATCAGAAGTGTGGAATCAATAATAATTGACACCTCCATGGAGCAGAGTAGAGTTCACCTGATACTGCTGGGGAGACTGTACACTGGACAGTTTTTTGATAAAGCTACAAAGGTAGTGTAGTGAGAAAGGATAGATTTTTGTATGAGAAGTGCAGGAACAATTAGATTTCTGTATTTGAAAACAAAACAAAATGGATGAGAGCACTGAATTTAAAATTTAATGATAGAATGTTTATACAAAAAAAGAATCATTGTGACCTTGGGCTAGACAGAGACTTTTTTTTACAAACAACACAAACCAGTTTTCCAATTGGTCTCAAAATTATTCTCTGATAAAGAACTTGAGTCAAAAATACATAAAGGATTCTCAAAACAATATAAGGTAACATAAAATCCAATTAAGAACTGAGTGAAAATTTAAATAGACATTGCACCCAAGAAAATATAAAGATGGCAGATAATTGCATGAAAATGTGGTCCACCTTTGCCTCTCATCTTCGTGTGCCCTTTTCCCTGTGTGTCTCTGTCCAGATCTCCCTTTCCATTCTCTCAAATGCGTCAGTTACTGCTTTTAACGGTAAAGTTAGGATGTGCCTGGCATTTTTTTAGCACATATTTAACAAAGAGTCAGATTGGTGCCTTATAACGTGCTTTAAAAACAGGGCATTCCTTGAGCTTGTGCTTTTGGTTTCTACATGATAAGCAGAGTACGCAGTTTATTGCTTTGTCACACTAAATCTGTTAGTTTCATCTTCTCTGCTGCTAGCCTGGTAAATAAATCAGTGAAGCACATCTTCAGGTCTAGGGTCAAGGAGTGAAATAGAAAGCTTTGTTACTCTCTGTTCCAGCTTTACCAGTCATAAAGTTGATATGCAGTCCCCATTTACCTCAGTGCCACATGTTCTTAGTCTCATCTACAACAATATCAGTAATAAAAAGATACACTAAAAATTTTAAAAATTATTGATTGTGGGCTTATGTCTTATGTCTTATAAGCCCAGCTAGTTACTGCGAAGATCAAGAGTTAGACCCAAATTTTCTAACTCCATAATATTGGGTAGTGAGGTTTTTTTTTTTTTTAATGTTTTAATGTGGTGCTAGAATTGAATCCAAGGCTTCACACGTTAGGCAAGTGATGCAGCACTGGGCTACAGTGCCAGCTGGGGACTCTATAGCTTTTACATTCACTTTGATGTCCTCATAGGTTGTAGATTATAATCTTCCAGATATTATAGGTAAGAATCATTGTTTTTTTGACACTTTTTAATTTCCAAGTGACTATTATGGCCTGTAGTGCTTCTGAAGAAGCCAAGATCCTTATGTTCATGTCCATAGTCCTATTATCTATTAAGAATAATTATTAAGCCTGCTGTGATTTCATAATGTTTCTAACACTTACTTAACAATTTTTCATACCAAGAACTGCAGACACTATAGCTACTAACATACTAGGAGGACTGGTGTGTAAACACCCTTTCTGTGTCCAAATGATATACTTATTTCTCTCAGTGTTTATTATTAAAGTGTGAATTAATTTCTTTTGTAACCTCTGTAAGTTGCCAAAACATGATCAATATTACATGACTTTTAAAACAATGTTTTTGAAAAATTATGTAGTGATTGATTTTTTGCCAGCATTGTTGTTTTATGTTCCTTACAAATAGTTTCTGTATAAAATATTTTATTTCAGGTGGTCTGGGCATGCACCTTACTAGATTTTCTTGTGCTATAGTCTAGAACACCTTGTTTTCATGTTTTTAGATCATTAGAGTGACTAAGGTTTATTTCTGTGATGTGTTTTTCATCAAGCTGCTCAAAATAGGTTATTGCTTTTGTCTGTATTCATAATTGAGCTCATTTAATCTTCTTGTGAATTCTAACTGAAGCTCATTTCTCCCTTATTATTTTCAGATACTTGTATCTGCTGTTTTCCGGTGATGATCTTTTACCTTTAGACCACTGGGTGTTTAACACAGAGGCTCATCCTCTTCCGGTGTTACATTTAGCCAACACCACACTTTCAGGTAATCCTGCTGTTCGATGAAGCAGCTCTGGAAGGACCATTCTTACCTGTGTTTTGTTTACATGGACTACTACAGAAACTAGTATGGAGAGGAGTCTTTGAAGAACTGGACCTCTAAGTCAAGATGACAGGGCGAAACTCTTTCTCATAAGACTTTTCAACATGTAAATATACCAACTTTGAAATTATTCCATTTTATACCTGACCAAAACATGTTCTGGTACATATAAAACAGAGACCTGATGTACTTTGATTCGTAATGAGATGGTCACTTGAGAAACAATGCCCATTACTTCTGTATTATTAGAGCAAGCCAAGAACTATAGAACACCTTGCAGGAGATAGAGATGGCCTTTGGAATGAATTATATTTTGTGTTTCCTCTCACAGTGGAGCAGCTTTAAATCAAATATTTACACATCGTTTATCCCTTTTTTATCCATTTTAATAATGGAATAAGCTAAGATGAACAAGAACAAAAGAACACTGTAACTGTATCAGTAACAAGAAGACAAAAAAGAAACAGAAGTACCGACCCTGTCTGAATTTTCATGTTCCCCATTGGATGACTAGACTGGCAGCCATTGCAGTCCCAATCTATTTGATTAAAATTTCTTGATTAAATTTAATTCACTGGGGGGCATGATCTCATAAAGAATAATCTGGAAGTCTTTCTCTTCATATGATACCATTGAAACTGCTGTTTATTGTCACCAATGCTTAGGACCCTGGGTTTGGGATTTTGTGCATGTTGTTCAGTCTGGTGTGGGTAGCATGACAAAAAGTGGGGGAAATGGCATTTTGTTGCCTTGAAACTTGTTCTTTCTTAGTGAAATCCTTGATCTTGTTGGTAAGAGATTATTTTTCTAAGCCAACAAGTCTACCAAGTAAATTTTTCCACTTTAATTTCATTAAAAAATTAAGAGTCATTCACCTTACAACTTTCTGATGCAGCAAAATTCACTATTCTATTATGCAACTTTGAATTTGCATTGATAAGCTGAATTACTTAAACAACTTATTAAAGCAAAAACGAAACCGTGAAACTTCCTTAAATATTTTATCTGGGTTGGGGACAGGGCTCTTTTATTTATCTTATCCAATGACTGAGCTTTTCACAAGTTTTTAGTTTATTTAAGAATATTTATAGAAATGGAAAGAATCAGAATAGCTTCAAAATAATTTTCAGTGATAATTGTAATTTATTACATAAAATTGGAATTTATCTAAAGGACTTTCACTTATCCTCAGTAGATTTTGCATTGATACCTATTTTTTAAAATATTACTATTTATAATTTTGGCAGAAAGGACTTAAATTTTATCAAGAGCTACAATGTAAGGTAAATACTAATGCTTATAGGTTTTCTCTTCCTTAAATTTCTGCAATAGTGCAAGACACTTTTTTCATTTCATACAGACCTTTTCCATTGGTATTAAGAAGAGTTGGAAACAATATAGTTTAATATTTACTCTAAATTTGAATGTTTCATGAAACAAATTTGTATAAGAAGCTCACTTTGGAATATTAAAGGCTTCTTTCTTGATTTGGTAATTTTTCTTTTTAAGCCTCTGTTAGCATGTAGTAGATTTAACTTGAGAAAGAATTTTAACAAATTAAACTTTTCCTAAGGATGATCATTTTACAGTACCAGTCATCATAGAGTTCTCATAATTCATCCAATGATCCGTAAATGTTGCCCACCCCAAAAGTGTTCATAGAAAACAAAATAAAGATGTTAAGCCAGTTGTATTAAGTCTTAAGAACATTAAGTTTTAGCACCAATTTTGAAATTATAAGGTCTTTTGCTTGAAAATTTTAAATTTTGAGAAAGGTAAACTGTCACTTGAGAAGAAAAAGGAGAAAGTATTTGGTGTTTAGAAAAATTTAACCTTCCTTCTAAGAATAGCACAGTTCCATTATGAATCACTGAAAAGAGATAAGTGAAAAACTTGAGTTGAAAAATAACCCAAAGCAGCTGTGCAAATGGCAACAAATTCTTTCTCACCTGTTTTAAAAGAATGCAGAGGAAAGGGACCATCTAGGCTCCCTAGGAACTCCTCAGCAGAGTCAAAACCCCACCTCTAAGCACTGTGTGTTACTGGGACCTTAACAAAAAATAGGGACATGTGAAAATAGGGCTGCTGTGATACACAAAAAGATTTGAGAGGCTGTTTTGTATGTGACAGTAAGACTAGAGCTTATCACAATGCTTCTCTCAATACCAAAGCAATGAAAGTCAGATATAAATAACTTGCCGATGTCCTGTCTTATTTTTGTTATAGGTTGTCAAAGTGACTTCCTCCAAGATCAGTCTTCATCCATATTTTGAGTAGTTTCCAAAAGTATCTTCTTTTTTCCTGTTCTTCACAGCCATTTGCATTTTTAGACCTTACTGCTCAGGTTCAGTATTCCTTGCATTTATTTATAAGACCTGTGAAAAAGCCCAGAAATACTCTTTTCTAGGTGACTCCTCAAAGAGCCGGCACCTTATCTTGTGCCTGTGGCACAGTTACTCAGAGTAATCAGTTGATGCATAAAAGGAAAACTAAGAATGTTGCACACTCTACCACATGGTGCATTTATTTTATTTTAGAGTCACATTTGTTTTGGTTCAAACCATTTTTTTTTAAATTCAAGCAGAATGAAACTCAACCTGTATGGAGTTGTTAAAACCAAGTAGGCCTATAACCAAAAAGAAGTTCCAGTGCAGAAAAGTAAGTCCCCAGTCAGGTGGCTCTTACTTTTTGGTAGCTTGTACATCTTAGTGTCTGTCTAATATCAACTTATTTCTGTCTGTGAGCAGTTGTTTATATGGAGAAGTAAAACCTGATATTGTAAGAATGCATTTTTTTATAGAATATTAATCTTGATTTTCTACGATAACACCTAGGGCAACCCAGGGCTTTACTTGGTAGATATTAACCAAGCAGTTTGAAATTTTGATTGTTAACCTCTCACGTTGTTAACCTCTCACATTCTCCATTCCACGTTGCCAAAGCCTTTGTCACCACTCCAAGTTGGTTGATACAAGATTGTGCTTGCCATTCTTATTACAGTGTAGTTTCTCCTTAAGCTTGAATTTCTTTGAATGAATGCATGAGTAAACGAGAGAATGAGTGAACACACGTTTATGGAATACCAAGTAAGTGCCAAGCATTGTGTCTGGCACCTTCAATCATTAGAATATTTTATGTAATTCAGATGACATTTTCTGTATGAGAGTAATTCATACTATTATAGAGGTTTTCCAATGTGAATCATATTACAAAATCCTTAATTTTATATTTCATTTAAATTAATTGAGGAAAAAGTTTATAATATATTTTACACAATGTGTTACTATATAATACAATTATAAATATAGTTAATAGCTAAAATCTCTTGGAAAAAATCAAATATTTGATTCTAATGCAACTTTGACTAAAGTATTTACTTAAGAAAAACATTCTTATTTTGGTATATCGCTTTATGTATAATTAAAATCAGTATTTTATAGAAAGCCTTGTTATTTTATATTTAAAAAGCTTTTGTCAATTCACAAGTAAAATCTGCAGTTATAAATTTCTTTGCTCTGGTATGCTTCCTACTAATGGTAGTACACATACTTCTTAAATAAAGAAAAACACAGTAAGACATGCCTAAATTCCAAACCATAATCCCTGATAATTTCTTTAGCCACAATTTGGCTAGCTTGTATCTTGTCCACTCTTTATGTAGATATATACATAAATATAGTATACACAGGACTTATAGTACTGTCAGTTCATAGACAGTAACTGGTTTTGAGTCACACAGATTATATAAAAAATATTTATTCACGTGTGATACAGAGATGTTTTAATCCACTTAATTTGGTTCAAGAACATTGGCGAAGATAGTTTTCTGTTATTTTAGATTATTTACATTACAATGGAGATACTCTTTTTGATCTGTATACACTCAGCAAGCTCTTTGTGTAAAGGACCAGATAATATGTGAGCCATACAGTTCTATTGCTGAAGTATGAAAGCAGCTACAGATAACGTGTAAATGAATGCATATATCTGTGTTCCAATAAAACTTTATTTACAAAAACAACTGGAGGGCTGGAGATGGCCTACAGGTCATATTTGCTGACATGATTCCACATTTAATGTGTGTAAGACTAACCTTTGGTCTGCATCTTTTCTGTGTGTCTTATTTTACGTGAATTATTGTTAAAGCAGGAAAGTGTATGTGTTAAATTGTGTGCATTTGTTACCTAAAGTTGTGTGTTTTGTTGTGTAGAAAATATATGTATTTCTGTGGACTCTAGGTTTCAGAATAATATGACTATCATGAAAGGAACAGCATTGAGTGGATATGCTATCAGACATTATCTTCAGCTTACTATTTTATGCCGTAAGTCTAAATTTTCCATGTAGAAAAGGTCTGCCTTCAAAATACTATTTTATCTCCAAATTCTGACCCTTGGTTTGGGACTCTGGATTACTAGAGCTGCAGAAATTTATCCAGTTTGATATCCTTTGAGCTCTGAGGCAAGAATATCATAGAATTCCTGATCTTGGTGCTGCTAAAAACAAATCTTTTGAAAAATTCTAGGCAACCCATTATGTGCTAGGTGCTTCATTTGCCACTTGGCAGCCAGAATTAAGACTGTAGAAGTTTACATCTCCATTAGCTCTGGCATAGCTGATTCTGAGGACTGCAGGAAAAAAAAAGAGATGTTTGTAAAAAGAAAACTCCCTCTTGCCTAATTCTCCACAGACCTTTACCAATTAGTAACATTGTTTCAAAATGTAAATATGTATCATTTTCAAGTTAAAGCTCCCATCAGACTCAACATTATACTTCTACTGTTTAACAACTAATCTATTTCAAACTTGATTTGTGCCCAGCACTTGCAGAGCTCACATAATTGCTCACAAAATTACACAGCATCATATTAGCTAGCATATACATTGCAGTGTACCATTCTGACAAACATAGTAATAGATTTTTCACTAAGAACTTTATCAGATGTTTCACTGTTTCATGAAAATTATAGTGAAAGGGAAGTGAATGACAGCCAGAGTTATATTTTCCACGTTACCGAGGAGCTGCCTTTGTAAGACTGGACCTCTTAAAGGTTGCTTTAGCTCAGTATGAATGTAAGTTTTGGTACTCAAATACATACACCAATGTTATTTGTATTACATAACAGGCTTTTAAAGAGTTGCAAATATTTTGAAGCTGTTTGAGTGCTGCAGAACTCTGTAAACTGCATACCAGAAAACTTCCTGAAGATAAGCTCAGCTCTTTGTTTGGAAAATAATATTTTTAGAAAATTTAGAGATTAGTTTTCACTTAATAAAGCAACTCCAATTTTAATTGCTGAATTGGGAATTGAAATGCCGTTCTTTATTCTCATTGATCTTGAATTCACTGCTAAAATCTTTCCCTAAAGTACTAAGTGGGGGTAAGTATAACCACCAAAATTGGAACTCACTGGCTGCTCCTGAACTGGTTTCCAGTCATGTCCTCCATAATGTGATTTTTACAGATCAAAGGTAATAATTGTATATTAAAGGTCAAATAAAGATGTTCTTTAAGTGAAAAACCTTTGTTTATCTTTCATTTTGAACACTGGTGACAATTCAGTGTCTTCCAGTATACAGGACATTTTGGAATTTACCATAACTGACAGTCTTTAGTCTATCATTCACATCCTTGACATTATAGAGAGATAGAGCTTGCTGAGAGAATGATATTTATTCCAACAGATTTTAAGAAAACAAACTTAGCTTTCTGTGCAGGTTACCCCTCAGACCTAATTTAGACTTGTCTGTGCAATCACCAAGGTGAGACATTGCCTTAGTCACTGGACTAAGTCACTGGACCTCATCCTGGCACATTAAAATCTGACCTGACCCTGCTTCAGTGATTCTTTGGCCAGTACAGGCATAACAAACCTACAGAATAATCAACTGAACTATAAGTAGTGGTTTAGTCCATCAGCACTTTAAAAGCAGAGAATATTTAGAGCCATGAACCCACAAAGCACCAACTAAGGTAGTGGTAAAGCCTTTTGAAATAACCAGTTTAGATCCTTGAGATCTAATTCATTCTGGGAGAGTGAATTTCAGCATGATGAAAATTTTAGATTTGGAATACATTGTGAGTGTCTCAAAATTTTTAGTCTTAAGTTTTCAGAAGTAAAACAGGACAAATTAAGATTATAAGAATAAAGAACTCTGAGTTACTATAATTTAGTAAAATCTGGACCTTTTTTTGCTAGTTCCCTGAGATTTATATTATTAGGTTGCAGAGAAGCTGTCTATATGCAGAGAACATTCATGTTAAGAATGTATTCCGTTGAGTATGTACCCTAACATGTTGACTAATACAAATTTCCTACAATTTTAAAGTGTGGAGATTATGTATATGTATGTGTGTGTGTGTGTGTGTGTGTGTGTGTGTCTCTGTGTGTGTGTGTATAGCAAAGTTTGATATTTTGAGCAAATACACAAAGCAGCACTAATAGTTGCGCAGTGATTGCCAGTATCTATTTCTAAAACTTTTTCAACATTCCTGTTAAGCAATAAATGACTCCCTATTCATTTCTTCCCCAATTCCTGGTATCCTCCAATCTGCTTTCTAAGACAAATTTCTTAACCCCATCTAGACTTAACCAATACAAACAAAAGGGCAGATATAGTAGGGTTTTTAGGAAAATTAAATGAGAAAAATCTTTTTATATGGCCCAAGTTAAGCTTTGTTAAGTTTAGCTTAATTTTGAGGAATGGTACAATACAGTATATGGAAAACGTTAAGATATATATGTACCAACTCCACACAAGGAATGTAAATGTACTATACAAGTACTAATTAAAATTATTGCAGGTAGAGGCATACGCTATTAATCACTCAAAATACCCCCTGCCCATGCTTCAAGTACACTTATCCCATCGTTCTTGCTCTTTCTGAAGCAGTTCTTTGGAGTTCTTTCATTGCAGTGTCTTTGTGAGGTGTGATCAAAAATACAATGAATGTCTCTGCTGAGTGCCATTAAATGGAAATGCTTAAAATAAAATCATGTTGTGCCTTCATCCACTTTACTCATTGGATGTGGTACCATGAAAATTCTGATTCTTCTCCAAAGTCATAATGGCCATGAGGGGTAAATGTTTTATATTGACTCAGGACATTGAGATAGCTGTAACAGCACAATTAATGACTCTGAAGAAAAGGACATGTATTTTTTGATTGTGTATCATTTTCATGAGCAGCAGGTTGGAGTAATAATTTTTTAAGGAACTGGGGGAAAAACAACAGCCAATAAAAACATCTAGTTCTACCAATTTATATAAAAGGAAATAAACACAAAAGGGCAAAATGAGGCTAATTAACTTTTAAGATGGGCTTTCAGTATTATTCATGGTTCTATGAAGTAAGAATTATTCTTTTAAAAGTTTAAATAAATTGATAACATGAACCAATTAGAATCAAACAGTATGCAGTCTTTGACCACTGCCTTCTTTAATGCTTTGTTTTAAAAGTTTATCTATGCCGAAGTAAATGTCAGAGTTCATTACTTTTTACTACTGAAAATGATTTCTGGTATAATATGCTGTATTTTGTTTATCCACTCACACTAGTTGATATTTGCAGTGCTCCACTTTTTAGCTCTTATGAATATGCTGTTGTGAATATATACATGCAAGTCTGTGGTTATATGTTTTTATTTGGGCATGTAGATACCTAGAAGTAGAATTGCTGAGTCATGTGATAGTTATATATAATAGTAAGAAAAACTTACCTCATGTCTTTCAGAATGATCGCTTTTATATTCGCACTAACAAAGTATGAGGGTAAGAGTACCAGTTTCTCATCCCCTACAACATTTGTTACTTTTTTATCGCCCTCCTTCATTATAGTCATTCTAATGGGTGAGACATATCATTGTAGTTTTAAAACTACTTCATAGTTTTAGTGTTGGTAAAGACATTGAGCTATGCTATTAGTTCTGCATGTGTTTGGTAAGTGATCTTTTCAAATATCTTGTCTTTTCGATGCTTTGAGTTGTAAGATTAAGATTAAAATGTAATACATATATTTATATAACAAAATTATATTTTTATTCCCTCAGGTGGTTCATCTTCAATTTTTAATTGTATCTTTTGATTACAGTTTAAAAAAATTGGTGCAGTAAATCTGTGTTATAGATTCCACTTTCTTGCCTAATCCAAGGTCACCAAATATTTAGAATTCTTTTTTCCTTAATATTTTATAGATTTATCTCTTACATTGAGGTCTGTGATCCATTCTAAATTCATTTTTCTCATCTCAGAATCTAATAACATTTTCATATGTTGATACCAGTTATCTGTTACTGAAAAGATTTTCCTTTATTAAATGGCACAGGTACCCTTGTGAAATATCATTAATATAAAGCTTTATTTTTGGACTCTTAATTCAGCTTCACTTATGTGTCTTCTCTATCCCAGTATCATGATACTTACTAACTATAGCTTTAGAGCAGTTGTGTTCAGTTGAGTAATTTTGCCCTTCATCCTTCCCAGGGACATTTGGCTATGTCTGAAGACATTTTCAATGTTAGGGCTAGAAGGAAATGCTACTGGCATGTAATGGGCTTTAAGTCAAGGACAGAGATTATACTACTTACCTTTTTTTTCTGAATATAGGCCACGTTTTACTGTTTCTTTGATTCATGACATAATATTCTAGACGTTTGTTCAATTTCTGGCCACTGTTTAACAAAGTTTTGTTAGGCTTCAGGTATACAGAAGCTAAAATAAATCTACCTTTAAAAAAGTACTGGCCTGGGCCGGGCATGGGAGCATGTGCCTGTAATCCCAGCAGTTGGGAGGCTGAAGCAGGAGGAGCCTCATGAATTGGAGGCCAGCCTAGACTGTATATTGAATTCAAGGGCAGCCTCAACTACATAGCAAGACCCTGTCTCAAAAAAAAAAAAAAAAAAAAAAAAAAAAAAAAAAAAACTGGTAGCTTATGTAATACTGTGGTGATGGAACCACACTTTCAATAATACACAGGTGCAATAGGATCCTAAAGTTAGCATAGGTTTGGAGAAAATAATAAAAGTTGGGGGTTTTTTGTTTGTTTATTTTTTGGTTTGGTTTGGTTTGGTTTTGAGACGAGGTTTTGCTAGTAGTTCAGGCTGGACTTGAAGTCACTTTGTAGCTTAGGCTGGCCTCAAAATTGCAGTCATCCTGCCTCAGCCTCATGAGTCCTGAGATTACAGGTGTGTGCCACCAGCCTGGCCACAAGAAACATTCTTGAAGTGATTAACACGGGATCTGAAATTTAAGCAGAAATTAAATTCAAAGATAAATTCGGAGAGCTATTTCAAACGGAATGTGAAATTCATATTCAAAAGTAGACAATTTTAAAACTACAGGACAATTTATTTAATGAACATAGATGCAGAAATTCTCAATAAGAGTCTGGCAAACAGAGTGCAACAACTCATAAAAAAGATCAGACTTAAGACCAAGAAGTCTTTATCCCAGGAATGTATGAGTGGTTCATCATACACAAACCAATACATATAATGTACTACATAAAAAGAGGCAACAACAAAAATCACATCATCTCAATAGACGAAAAAAAAAGTCTTCAATATAATCTGTTCATGATAAAATTCTGAAAGAAAAGAGGTATGGAAAGGCCTTATCAATCTGATAAAAGTTATTTAGTACAGACCTCCTGCAACATCATGCTCAATGAAGGGAAACTAGCAAGGCCTGGTGCTGCATGTCTGTAATCCCAACTCTCAGTAGTCTAATGCCCAAGGTTCACCGTACATTCGAGGCCGTGCTGAGTTGCCTTACTTAAAACCATTCTGAACTATGTAGCAGCTCTCTGTCAAAAAATAAACAAATAGGGGAAAACTGAAAGCTTGTCCTCAAAAACCAGAAATAAGTCCAATACTGAACTTCTGTCAGTATAGTACTTGAAACTACCTACAGCAATCAAGCAAGAGAAAAGTGATCCATAATAGGAAAGGAAAAAATCAACTTCCCCTTCCACATAAAGAATAGCCCAACTCCACATCATGAATCCTAGAACTGATAAATTCAGCAAGGTAATAGGACACCAAATTATGTGAAAAATCAATAGTGCTTAGATTCACCAATAGTGAGTCCATCTGAAGAAAACAAAAAATAGAAAAACAGTACCATGCAGCTAGCTTCAAGAAAAATTAAATACTTAGGAACTAGCAAAGAAAGTGAAAGCATATGTAACAAAAACTGTAAGAGGATTGAAGAGGACATTGAAAAACTGAAAGATAACTTTGTTCCTGGATAGGCAGAACCAATGTTTTCAAAGTGTCCATGCTACCAAAAGCAGTGTATTAATACAGTTGCAATAAAAGTACTACCAACATTCTTTACAGAACTGAAAAAAAAATGTAAAATTTATATGGAACCAGAAGAGCCCCAGAATAGCAAAAAATCACCCTAGGCAACAAAAGCAAAGCAAGAGGTATAACAACCTTGGATTTTAAACTATATTACAAAACTACAAAAAATAAAAACAACATTGTACTGACATGAACACAGACATATGAACCAATGG